CAGTCAACCACCGGTTGCTGCTGGGTCCTAAAGAGACTCAGCTCATCGCAGTTTTGTGATGTTTTAATTGGTTCTAGTAAAGATTATTTATAAGAAGAATTAGGTGCCATCAATTCACAACTGACATGGCGGCCCTTAATGGGGTTTCCAAGGCAAGAGATGAGCAGAGGTGGTTTACCACCCCCAGTCTACAGGGGCTGTGGCTCAGTTGGAAGTGTCTCTGCTTGGCATGGAGAAGGTCCCCGGTTCAATCCCCGTCATCTCCCGTTAAAAGGGTCAGGCAATCGGTGATGGGAAAGACCTCTGCCGGAGACCCAGGAGAGGCTTCCCCTGCTGGTTTTCCTTTGGTGGTCTCCCATCCACGGCCAACCCTGCTCAGCTTCCAAGCTCTGGTGGGCTCAGGCTAATCTGGACGATTCAGGCTGCTAGTAAAAAGTATTATCTTTTCTCGGTCAGGTTTGTCAGAGCAGGCAGGAACGGGACAGTGTCCCGTACACCACCAGCTTAAGCGAGAAATAATTCTCTTGTGATAATAGGATTATTTCCGGCCATCTTTTCTCCCCTGCAGATTCTAGAAGTGCTCTTGGTTTTCAGACGGCAACAGCAACACAACCTCCATCCGCCGCCCTCCGCGTTGCTCATGTTGTGATTCTTTATTGTTAATTAGGAAAAGTGGATACTGGAGGGCAGTTAGGATTAATAAGATCCCCGCAATTGTGCTGACTGCAGAGTAGGAGCATTTCATTACCATTTATAGGTTATCGCATATCTTTCTCTCCCATGCTCTTCTGTAGCGTTGCTCTCTCTTTTTATTGTTGTTTTGTTTTCAGCAAACAGTTGTCAAGACACAGATAATTGCACGCTAATGGGTGCCGTCTTTAATTCATCAAAGGGGCTTTTGTACTGAAGCAAAGGTGACAAAACCCCCATTTATTTATTGAATTGTAAGCTCTTTGATGCAAGGGGGGGTAACAGGAAAACAAGCGTTGGTGTTAAATGGTTGGGAAAGAACCAGTCAATAGGAATATCCCGCTGCTTGTCCGTCCTGCCTTTCTCTCTTTAAAGGGATGCTAGCACAACTCATAAATGATCATCTTATAATGGAGTGAGTATTGACTGAGGTGCCTTCTGGGGTATGAAGGCTCATCTGATCTGCAGCTGTGGCGACGTCAAGGCCTGCTTTGACAGATGTGGCGCACAAGGGCCCAGACCACATGCAGGCACTACCCCTTATTTCAGTGTCGTTCAGCAAAATATGGACAACATCACTCAGATCTTTGCATGACTGCTGAATTGGCATGTTTTTATTCTAAATTGCAATACCTCGGTTTCCTCCCCCCCACCGCCCCTGCCCCAAATTAAGAGAGAGAGAGAGCCAGTTTGGTGTAGTGGTCAGGAGCGCAGACTCTAATTTGGGAGAACCGGGTTTGATCCCCCACGCCTCCGCATGCAGCTGCTGGGTGACCTTGGGTCAGTCACACGTTTTCTCAGAGCTGTTCTCTCAAGAGCAGTTCTCAAGAGAGCTCTCTCAGCCCCACCAACCTCACAGGGCACCTGTTGTGGGGAGAGGGAGGGAAGGAGATGGTAAGCTGCTCTGAGACTCCTTCGGGTAGTGAAGGGCGGGGCTTAAATCCAATCCAATCTAAAGACCCTTGAAAAGGTTCAATCTGAATTTCTTATATCTCTATTTGGCGTTCCTAGAAGTACCTCTAATGTAACACTTAGGCAAGAGGCTGGGCTACTCAGAGTTGAAACAAAGGTCTGGGAGCAGGCTATAATGCTCTGGCTAAAAATTCATTACAACCCAAAGGGTTTAATACCTTACTTTTTAGCCTCGTCGGAGCCTTACCCTGTCTGGTCCACACAAATTCTTAATAAATTAAATCAGATTGGCCTATTCCCAGAAGATCTATGGGATAGAGCAGGTAGAGAAAGAGGTACTTTTCTCCCTTTCTCACAATACAAGAACTCGTGGGCACTCCATGAAACTGCAGAGCGGTCGGGTTAGAACGGATAAAAGGAAGTACTTCTTCACCCAAAGAGTGATTAACACATGGAATTCACTGCCACAGGAAGTGGTGGCGGCTACAAGCATGGACGGCTTCAAAAGGGAATTAGATAAGCATATGGAGCAGAGGTCCATCAGTGGCTATTAGCCACAAGGTATAGCTAGGGGCTCTGGGGCAAGTGATGCTCTGTCTTCTTGGTGCTTGGGGGGGGGAACAGTGGGAGGGCTTCTAATGTCCTGGCCCCACTGGTGGACCTCCTGATGGCACTGGTATTTCTGGCCACTGTGTGACACAGAGTGTTGGACTGGATGGGCCTTTGGCCTGATCCAACATTGGCGTCTCTTATGTTCTTATGTTCTAAGCCTATACAAGGCAAGAACAGCTGTCGCGCTGAGGCTTTGTGATATTGAATCACAAAATGAAGAAGCTTTGCTACCCGAGAACTACAGAAACATAAAATCTTGGCCAAATTTTACTGTTGCCCCTTATTTAGTTAACATTACCCACGAACCCTATAGATGGGCCTTTTCCAGAGCCCGTTTTGAGGCGCCCCCTTCCGCTGTACTGCAAGGTGAATTCACTGGATTTCCAATGCATGAACGTATATGCCCATGCATGGCTAATAACGGTGGAATCAATTACTCATGTCCTCCTGTTCTGCAGATTCTATCAGGAGGAACGAGACCATCTTATACTACCCCCTTCTGTCTAGATTTAGCCCTCTGCAGTCTTATCTTGACTTTAGCCCAGAAGTCCTTCGTAAAATCTTGACTTTAGCCCAGAAGTCCTTCATAAATTCCTCTTAGAAGACGTTCAGAGCTCAGTGACTTACGCTGTGGCAAAATTTTGTTGCTCAGCTATTAGGAAACGTAAACTTATCTTAGCTGAAAAAAATTGTACGATTCTTTTGTTAGCACTATTTTACTTTAATAATGCTATTAACTCTCTCCTGTTAATGTTTTTTATATTGTTCCCATGTTATTACTGTTTCAGTCCCTTTTATATCAGAATTGTACTGTTTTACTGGCTCCTGCCGCAATAAATTAGATTGACTGATTGCTTAAATCCAATGGATGGCTCTGTTTAACCCAGTCCCATAAGATCTTGCAAGCTAAATAGGTTTAGTACTCGGATGGGAGACCACCAAGAAAGTCTAGGATTGCTCTGCAGAGGCAGACAATGGCAAACCGGCTCTGAAGGTCTCTTGCCTTGAAAAACCTACAGATGCCCCGGTCACACGGAGGATTTGCCGCACGAAAGGCACGAATGTCAGGCGGATTTTCGGGGCACGATCACACCGCAACATCTGGGAAGCGTAGCGCACCCGTGGCGTCCCACCGAAGATGCGCAGTAAAAAAAGTACCGCGGAAAGTGCACTAGTATCCGGAAAACGCGGGGCAGGGGCGGGCGTCTGATCGTGGGAGCGCTAGTATCCCGTGGCATCCGGCGCCAGTCCACGTCCCGTCGCAAACCGGATGTTTTTCGTAGGAGCATACGCACAAACACATAACTGAAAGCAGTGCTGCTCCGTGGAACTGTGCATGCGCACAAACGCGAAGCGCTTGCCGCGCCGCTTCTTTGCCATGCTCCAGCATCACCATGTGATCGCCAGCTAACAGCCTAAGTGCGAAGCCTCGGGGGACTTGGTGATCGGGCTACCATGCTTTATTTTGCTCCGGGGCAAACAGCCACGCCCCCCGTGTTATCTGGCCCGTGTTACCGGGGCCAGAGTCGCCCTAAGTCCGCTGTGACTTGATGGTGATAGATAGATAGATAGATAGATAGATAGATAGATAGATAGATGATAGATAGATAGATAGATAGATAGATAGATAGATAGATAGATAGATAGAGGGCTATTTTGGGGCAGGAACGCACAGGAACGGAGTTCCGGCTGGCTCCCAAGTTGGCCACGCCCACCAGAAACTCATTAGCATAACAGGCCACACCCAACAGCAGACACTCATTAGGATTGGCTACATTAGGGGTGTGTGGCCTAACATGCAAAGGAGTTCCTGCTACAAAAAAAGGCCCTGGGTTTTGACAACAAACAAGGTAAACAGAATAAGAAGCAAAAGGTGGGTGTGGCTGGATGAACACACTTCTGGTAACATGGGGGTGTGGCCTAATGTGCTAATGAGCTGTGTTGTCAGGGGTGTGGCCCAGTATGCTAATGACTTCCTGCTGGGCTTTTTCTACAAAAAGAGCCCTGGATAGACAGACAGACAGACAGACAGACCATTTAATGGCAGATGAATTACACCCTGCAGGCACATGCATTTCTCTACTGAGTAGAGAAGGGATGTGAACACCCCTTCCTATCTCTGGACAGAAAGTAGTGTATGACCTGGTGTGGTTCCAAGTTTGCATGCCCCCAGCTGAACCTTCTACCTGCACCTTTCCACCAGAGTCTGCCCTCTTGATACAGAGCAGAGAAGCGTGCCTCGAAGCAGGGCCATCCCGTTCTGCCTGGCATTTAAGACCTCGAGCCAAAGGTTCAGACCTAGTAAAACATGCAACAGCTGTCTCTATTTAAAGCTCCTTTAATAGCTTGTTCACTTTCAGAGATTGCTCAGTCATCTCTAGGTTCAGGGGAGCATCAGTCTTGTGCTAAAAAGTCCACAGAGCAGCTCTTGGATGCAGTGTAGGGTGTGCTGAGGGCGATCTAAGAGACACAGAGTTTCGGTGGGTACATTGTTTGGGGTTTGGCCTGGAGTTGGCGTCCACGTTCAGAGCTTCTCTGAGCTTCAGCTCTGGCATCGCTAGAGGGGAACAGCGGTGACCTGATTCACAAGGGTGCTGTAGTCAGGTTAAGATATCGGTGCCTCTTAATAATGTTCTGTAAATAACAGTAGCTACAAAAACGCTACGGATGGGCCTTCCCGACTTACACGCTACTGCAGGCACACCAGGGTAAACGTTCATGCTGCTGAGTTTTTGGTTTGCAACATACCTCTCAATGAATGACATCCTTTTCTGCTCTCTTCCCAGGTGGTTAGCCGAGTGGCAGCGCAGCAGGGCTTTGATTTGGACCTTGGATACAGGCTGCTGGCCGTCTGTGCGGCGAACAGGGACAAATTCACACCAAAATCAGCTGGTAGGAAACGCTGGTTTTCTTTCTCAGCATTGGTCCTTTGGTGGCGAGAAACTGGGCGGGGCCCACAGTGGACTTTGTTCCTTGGTAGGGGATGGATAGACGCCTGCTATATGTTTTAGCGTGTTCACCTGTGAAAGCGACACCAAAATGAAGGAACCTAACACACGCCGTCCTCTTCTTTTCTGTTTAATTTCCATGCTGGCAGCTCAGTGAAATGCCACACCGAGGTAGTTTAGAAGGGAATGTCAGACCCAGGCCGAATGGAGGAAAAGACAGAGAAGCGATTTCACCGAATTTCTCTCCCCCATACTGTTGTGCATTCTTGTCAAGGGAGGGGGGGCGTCCCCTTCTTTTCAGTACAGACAGCTGGCATGCAGGAGGAGGAGAAATATTCTTTCTTTGAATTCGGATTGCAAGCTTTTCTGCAAGTTCGAACCCAGTGATTTGGATCTTTGCATTGCCAAAGCTGTATGTATTTTTGTTAGATAAGCGTGCCGTGGCAGCATGCAAAATGGCGGAAATATCTGCAGGAATAAAACGGTGCATTTTGTTCCAAATAAGAAGGTGATTATAAACACAAGAGCTTTTTTTCAGCTGTGGGAGTGGCTATCAAGTGAACCTTCCATTGGGCACTTCTAGTTCTCCTTTGACCGCTGGTGTTGCCTCATCCAGTGACCTGGCAGTGCTTTGGTATTAAGGACTTTGGGATATGAAGGGTCGTGTGCGAGCGTCTTCATGAGCGTATTGTCGTTATTCTGGACTGGTGTGGCCTTTGGCCTTTGGCCTTTCTCCCTTCTGCTGATTCTGCCTTGCAAATCCATGTTGCTGTTCTTTTCCCCCTTGCAATTGAAGGGCAAGAGAAGGTTGCCAACTCTGTGTCGGGACATTCTTGGAGATTTGGGGATGGTGCCTAGGGAGGGTGGGGTTTGCGGAGGGAGCAGGGATGTGGTGCCAGAGAGTCCCCCCTCCAAAGCTGTCGTACTCTACAGGGGAATTGATCCCTGTAGCCTGAAGATCAGTTGTGATTCTGGAAGACCACCTGGCTCCATCAGGAGGCCAGAACTCTGCCTTGGAGCCATCTAGGGGGACTGGCCAAGAGAGGAGCTGTGTTTGATACCCTTCTTGCAGTCAAGAATGCCTTACAACTCCACCCTTCGGTAGAGTTAAGCAGTAAGTATCGGGGTTTGGGGGTGTACCTTGTGTTTGCATTATAGGGATACCTTCACTGAAGTGAATGTGTGGTTCCTATTACCAGCAAACTCTTTACTCTCCGACTTAGATACTGGCATGAGTCTCGTTCGATTCTTGTCACTCTCCGAATTTTATAACACGAAGCGCATCGGGCTACAAAAGAAAGGTCAGTGAAACTCTCGGGAGCATTTTCCTCTCTAAACTGATCTGTGATTTAAAAAAAAATTGAGCCAGGGCTTTGAATGTTCTCTCTTCTAGGGATCGACTCCCTTCTTGTGAATCCACCTTGCGTGTCTTGCTTGATAGATCCATGTGGCTATTGTGACTTTGGTCTTTTCGGTTTGTCTGGCAAATCTGGAATGCAAAACTCTTCCCCACACACACCCCAAACCAGGGATAAAAGCATTGTAGGGTGGCTTCCCCCCCCCCCCGAAGAAATTGACCCTGGAGGAATAAAGGTTTTAAAGTCTTCCTTTCTCCCACTCCCCCTTTTTCCTGTTCTCCGCCTTAACAAAGCAGTCCCGGAGGCAGTCTCTTCGGCTTTGAAACGGAGATGAGCACCGCAACCCTAGAATCGGATTCGACTGGCTTTCGAGCAAGGGAACCTTTACCTTTACCTTTATATATCATTACCACATTTCAGAATATGTGCCTGAGAGTCAGCAACCTGCTACAGACACTAGTGAGTACACAGCTGGGGTGAGATCTGAACTGGTTTTCCCCCAGTTCATACTTCACCAGTCCTAATCCACTCAAACTATTTTGGATCCTACCTGACATCTCCAAGAGCCTTGCACCTGAAGTTATTTGTCATTAGTTCTCCCAGTCCTTTTTTGGGGGGACAAGCTTCTCAGGTGTGTTTTGGGAGGTCATTCCCACTGCTTTGCAGGGTAAGTGCACTGGACTCCCGCCAGTCTGGCTGGTTTCCCCTTCTCCGTGGCAGAGATCCCCTCCCCAAGGTCTGTGTTATGACTCCTGCTTCATGTTCAGCAGTTCAAGACCCGGGTGCCGCATGATGGAGTGAGCTCCCATCTCTAGTTCCGGCTCCTGCCAACCTAGCAGTTCGAAAGCAAGAAATTGCAAGTAGATAAATAGGTACCACTTCGGTGGGAAAGTCAAAGCATTCCGTGCGCCTTGGTGTTTAGTCATGCCGGCCACATGACCACGGAAACGCTGGCTCTTCGGCTTTGAAACGGAGATGAGCACCGCAACCCTAGAGTCGGATTCGACTGGCTTTCGAGCAAGGGAACCTTTACCTTTTACCCTTCACGTTTTTACCGGTATTTGCAGATGGAACTGTTTCTGTTGCGAGTGGCTTGGATAAGTGCCTTTAAAACGTACCTGAGACAAATCTGTGTGTCGATGTGGCCACAAGGCCATTCCTGAGGAATTCATTCTCCCCCATTTTGATTTAAGGGCCTTCACGTTTTATGGCGCTCATCTCTTTTATCTCTTCAGAGCAACGATTCCCTTTTTGAGGCCATCTGTGCTGCTAATATGGTTTTCTGAAGAGATGCTTTTAAGTCTTCTTTGTTTAGTCTAGCTAATCCTCTGCTATCCCTGTGGTTAATTTGAATTGTTTTGAAGAGACTGCAGAGGGGGGAGTCAAGTGATGTGACCAAGTGTTTGGAAGCTGGAGCCGCAGTCTCGTAAGAAGGACGCTTGTTGTGATGCCGTTTTGATTCTGCATTATTAGCATAATCTCCTTTATAAATAAAAAACATACTTAGAATGTATGTCTCATATGTTTGCGTATGTGTGTGTGTGTCCCCCCCTCCATAATCCTTAAAACAGCCTTGTGAGGTAGGATTTGACCATTTCTGTATTGCATGAGGTGGTGTAAGGTTTCGGCTAAGCAGGGGTCATTCCTTAGGAAAAGAGGCTCAGGGGCTCATTAGCATAACTTATTTGCATATGCCACACCCCCTGACATCCCTGGAAGTGTGTCAGAAGGCAACACCCGCCGCTCAGGCTCCACTGGACTGTTTTGGATTGCTAGCTATGGGGGGGGGGGAATGTGCAGATCTGCCCTCACAGAGGAGGGAGAGCTTGTACCTGATGGCGGGCCGGGGGGGGGGCTCTGCAACTTACCTGGCTGCATCTTGCTCCTCGTGGCCCGACTGAGGGCTGCTGGGAACAGGGGGTGGGGCTTGTGTGGTTCCATCAACGCCCTATAATTTCCGCACATTGCCATCGTTGGTGTGGGTACCATCGGAGGGAGCGGGACGTGCCTAGGGGACAACAGTGGGGATATGCACTGCTGTGAGTAGCCGTACCCTCGAGAACACCATCTTGACTTTAAAATTCGGAAGCGAGTAGGGGAGCACCGAAAATGTTTTTATTAATTCTGTTTAACTATTTAATTGTTTATTTTGTATTGTTAGCATTTTATACTGTTTTATTGTTGTTGTCTGGCATTATGCCTCTGTTAGCTGCCCTGAGCCTTTGGGGAGGGCGGGATATAAATCCAAATAAATAAATAAATTGTTGCATGTGCCCGTCCCCTGGGCTCCTTACTGCCGGAGCTCCGCTCCTGTGCGCTCCCGCAGGAAATCACCCCTGCTAAAAGAATAATTTCTTGTTTGGGTGAGTTCAGAGAATCTGATTAGGGACTTCCCAGCAAGGCTGCTAAGAGCCACCGTGCCTCCCTAGAAAAGATCCCCCTCACACCACCCAGAATTATCCCTGCCACTCAAAAAGAACAAATCGCATGACTATTTCATGGATAGCTAGGGTTACCAGTTCTTGGTTGGGGAATTCCTAGATATTTTGAGGGCGGAGCCTGGTGAAGGCGGAGTTTGGGACTTCAGCAGGGTATAATGCCATAGAGTCCACCCTCCAAAATAACCATTTTCTCCAGGGGGGCTGTCCTCTGTTGTCTAGAGATGACTTGCACATCCAGGAGATCTCCAGGCCCCACCTGGAGGTTGGTAACCATACAATTAGCACAAATAGATGGAGACTCCTTTCTGACTCTTGGCCTTGGCAAGGTTGAAATGTGGGACTGGTGAGGGAAAAGGTTTTTGTGCTCCAGGGATCATTTCAGCTGTGCTGCGACCTATGCAGAGTTGAAAAATTAGTGCATGCTTAGTAAATCCGCACTTAGTTTGCGGACCAGCCCCAGTGTCCGCAAGGGCTAAGAGGCTGTGGATACTAAGAATCAGGGCTTTTTTGGTAGAAAAAGCCCAGCAGGAACTCATTAGCATAACAGGCCACATCCAACAGCATAAACTCATTAGCATATTAGGCCACACCCCATGACAGCACAGCTCATTAGCATATGAGGCCACACCCCCACGTTACCAGAAGTGTGGTCATCCAGCCACACCCACCTTTTGCTTCTTATTCTGTTTACCTTGTTTGCTGTCAAAACCCAGGGCCTTTTTTTGGAGCAGAAACTCCTTTGCATGTTAGGCCACACACCCCTACTATAGCCAGTCCTAATGAGTGTCTGCTGTTGGGTGTGGCCTGTTATGCTAATGAGTTCCTGCTAGGCGTGGCCAACTCGGGAGCCAGCTAGAACTCCGCTCCTGTGTGTTCCTGCCCAAAAATAGCCCTGCTAAGAATGCATAGCTGCTCTGCATGGGTCGCAGCACAAGAGCTGTAAACCGGATCCTGAACCTGTGCCAAATCTCCGTAGGTGACTCTTTCGCTTCAAGTTTAAATCAGGCCTGGCCTACTGGTGCAGCAGACTGACGTAGTACAATCGTGAAGCAGCCAAATGGGTTACTCCGCTTTAAACTGTCCCCCCATCTTAAAGATGGTCTGCGTTTTTTTTAAAGCAGTTAGTCCAACCAGGGAGAGAGGCACTAAGCTAGGGTTGCCAACCTCCAGCTGGTGGCTGGAGGTCTCCTGGGATTACAGCTAGGGTTACCAGACCTCCCATTGGAAGTGGGGGTCCCCGATCACCAGGCCTACTGCCCCACCACCAATCACCTGGCTGGCCGAAGGTACTTACCCCCAAAAAGAGAGAGGCCCAGCCGATGTGCAGCGATGTGTCTATGTCACTGCCCACGTGACCGGGAATCGGGACAACGATCAGGCATTTGGGCAAAAACTACTAGTAGAGGCTCAATTTCCATAGAGTTTCTGCCCCAGTACCAGAGTGTCTCCTCAATGTGATGAAGTCACTTCCAGGTCACATGGGCAGTGATGTAGACACTCCTGCTCCCGGTAAGTCTCCCTCCAGCCCCCCGCCGGTAGCCAGGAGGGACCCGGCCACCCTAATTACAACTCATCTCAGGGCACTAGAGATCAGTTCCCTGGGAGAAAATGTCCGCTTCGGAAGGTGGACACTGTGGCAGTATACCCCACTGAAGACCCTCCCCTCCCCAAACCCCGCCCTCCTCAGGCTCCACCCCCCAAATCTCTGGGTATTTCTCAGCCTGGTGCTGGCAGCCCGACTGTAATCCAGGCCCTCCTATACTGTGGCCCCAGTCACACGGGCCAGGTAACACGGGGAGGAGGCATGGCTGTTCCCCCCGGAGCAAAATAAAGCGTGGTAGCCCGATCACACGGTCCCCCAAGTCTCCGTGCTTTGGCTGTTAGCTGGCAATCACACGGCGATGCTGCAGCGTGGCAAAGAAGCGGTGCGGTGTGATCACACAAGCATTTTGCGTTTGTGCGCATGCGCGGTTCTGTGGAGCAGCACTGCTTGCAATTTCGTGTTTGTGCGCATGCGCTTACGAAAAACATCCAGTTTGCGATGGGATGTGGACGGGCGCTGGATGCCATGGGATACTAGCACTCCCATGATCAGACACCCGCCTGTGCTGCACGTTTTCCGGATACTAGTGCACTTTCCTTGGTACTTTTTAACTCCGCATCTTCGGCGGCACACCACGGGTTGGCCACGAGTGCGCTGCGCTTCGCAGTTGTTGTGGTGTGATCGCGCCCTGAAAATCCGCCCGACATTATGCCTTTTGCTCAGAGGTCATTTCGGGGGGGATCGCGGGGGATCGCAGTTCTCCCGGGTGAGGTGCGGGGGCGGGGCACATGATGAAGCCCCGCCCCCTGCTTCCGGCTGCCCCGCTTCCAGACCTCATTCAGCCAGGAGGAGGCAGGAGAAGAGGGAGGGTAAGTTGCTTCCTCCCTGCCTCTCCCCACCCCTGCCTGCCTGGGGCCAGGGAGGGCCTTGGCGGGGCTTCCTCGCACTCCCGCCGGCCTTGCAGGTC